CAACTCTAACATTTGACACAAAGAAAATTTCAAATTTTAAGCTTACTCCTTTGTGATAATCTTCTATTTCAGATAATGTAAAAGAAAGATTTTAATCTCCGCTTTTCCTTTATGTTTGTGTGTCTGACTTTTATCTTTTCCAGCGAGAGAGACAATCTGTCACGTTTATATGCAGGTCCATAATTTAAATTTAAATTCTGAAGCCTGGAGATCTTAAAACTTGGTATTTTGCAATTACACTTAACAAGTTAGCCTATGCCTGCAAAACAAATAAAAATATCTATTTCACAGTATACTGACACTGAAATGTAATGAAAGTGCCTAAGGTATGTGAATCAATCTACTTAAATATTTACTGCTTTAATGAACTCTGAATTTATGGGTGTGCATATTGAAATGAGGTAATTATTTTAAATAGCCCCTATGTATTTGTAGCTAAAGAGAAATTACATTTCCTTAAATCAACCTGAGGTTTGTTTGTGTGGGTTGGGAGTGCAGCACAGGCTGCTGCAGGGCAGAGGCAGCAGTAAGGAAGCAAATACCAGTCTTGTTCCCACTCTGCTGCTGTGGGGCGGGGAAGGCAGAGAGATGAGTTTCACACCAATGTGAATACTTGATTGGAGTGTTCTGTAAAGTGGATTCTTTGAATTTCACTCCCTTCAGTTTGTGAAAAGTAGGCTGTACCACAGAAGTGTAGGCTGAGAGGGACCTCTGGAGGTCTTCTAGTTCAAATTCCTGGTCAAACCAGTGCTGACTTCTAAGGTGAATAAGATTGTCCAGGCACTTGGGTTAAACAAGCTTTGAAAATCACCAAGGACGGACATTCCACAGCCTCTCTTAATTTTATTGTGAAGTATATTCCTTTACAGCTGACTGGAAATTCCTTTACTGCAATTTCAGATTACTGCCTCCTGTCCTTCCAGAGTGCACCTTTGGAAAAGGTCTATCTCCCTAAGCCCCCCTGTAGGCACAAAAGGCAGCAGTTAGGTCTTCCCTTTTGCAAGCATAAAAAAAGTCTGTTCCTCCACTGGATTTTGCCATTTGAAATATATTTCTTGTGTTGTTTGTGGGGCTCAAAAGTAGTCTTGGTGTCCCAGAAGTTTCCTTTTGATGCTGAGTAGAAAGAAATAAGCACTTTGCCTGCTGGCTAAGCTGCTGCTCGTGCAGCTGGGGATGTGGTTTGTCTGCATTGCTGCAAAGAGATACTGCTGACTCATGTTCAGCTTCTCCTTCAGATCATTTCCTACAAGCAGCAATCCAGACAGACAGTCCCCAGCCTATCAGAATGCAGGAGCTTACTCCCTCCCACATGCAGGGGTATATTTATCTCAGATACATGAAAACTTCTGGTTATTTTGGCTTAAGTAGATTCACAGTTAAATTGCTGTCTTCTTTGTGAAAGATAAAAAAGACATCAAAACTTCAGCTGACCTAATTATAAATATTAATTTACTCTTTATTGATCATTCTGCACTTTCTAGAATTACATCATAGCGAAGAGGTTTTTATACAAAAAAGGCATTAACAGCTGTTGATTTGGGCTATATGGCCAGGCAATAAAAAGGGTACTTGGAGTGTGCAACTTTGTGCAGCAAGCAGACTATAAATACTCCATACCCTGCACTGCTTGGATGGAAATGTACCGTGGTTCAGGCATGCCATATTCTGTAAATAATTAGTTCTTCCAAAGAGTTGTTACAGGTTTCCTAAAATTAATACACTGTAGCACTATTAGAAGGGCTTAAATAATATATTCACTGTTGCCACAGTTATCAGGGATAGAACATTAATATCAAGTGGATTTTTTAAACTCACCATCCTCTCAGATAGCTGCTTCAAATGCTGGTGATAGCCAGATCAAGGCATGTATGTTCTGGTTCCTCCTCTGCCTACAGACAAGGCTTCTTTCTTCTTTGGTGTTTCTTAGCAGAAGCCTGGTGTGCATCCTCCTAGACAGCATCAGTAGAAAGCGCTGCTGCTTGGGATTCATGCTAACCTTGTTATCCAATAATTGAAGTAGGGATTGAAATTTCTCTATATGTGAGGTTCTCTATATGGGGGGTTCTTTTATATTATATGTGATTGAAATTTCTCTACATGTGGGGTTCTTTTATATTATTTATCTGTATCCATTTGTTTCAACAGTGAATTTATCACGACTGGACTGACCAGTCCTTTGATTAATAGTAGGGCATTTGTACTTTGAGATAAGTACATGCTAATAGATGGATGAAAAAAACTTAGTGAATGTATGACAGATTTTCACAGAGATATTTAAAAATTGATGAAGACCAGATTCTACCCTGATTAGGATCTTGCTCTATGATAATTTCAAGAAGGTCACAAGGCTTTCCTCTGTGTGTGTTGGGGGAAAATTTTTTTTTCACACAGAACATTGCTCCTGAAAGAAATAAGCACTCTATTTACACATATAGAAGACTTCTCAAGTCTTCCAGGAAATCCGTTTGAAAACTATTTACAGTATTAGTATGCAAATTATATACCACACACTAAATGAGATTCTTGCAGCAGAGCACTCTGACAGGCATCTCACTATTTGAACTATGGTGGTACAGTTAAAAAAACAACACAAAAAGAAAACACAGCTGGATATAATTGTATTCAAACACATACTTGTTATGTTAATGAGGGCATACAAATAAAATTAAATGTTGTCCAGCAAAGGTTTTCCCACAAAGGCTGAGTTATTTTAGCAAGATGTTCACATAATGCAACTTTTTGTGTTTATTGTAATTGAAAATATGTTTGATATTTATCCCTAAATATTTACAGATGAAATTTGGCAGCATCAGAAAAACAACGAAACCCATCTTGTATCAAGTATAATTTAATAAATATTCTTCAGCTAAGAAGAAAACTTAAATTGTGTCCCAAACTACATTAGGTACTTCTGATCATATAATTTAAATAAAGAGAATGCTCTTGTGTAGAGGTAGTGATGCATGTCTTGAGCTCCTATTGTTACCCCAGTTTGTCAGAGTAGCTGATGCACCCTTTAGCCACCTCCCCTTCTGCCCTGAAGCATCCTGAGAGTTCCTTGCCTCTGCCTTCCTGGGGCTGCTCTCCTGCCAGCTTCTCTTCAGTCCCACCTTTGTCCAGCTTCTGCCCCCACAGCCTCTCCCTGCCCAAGCAACTTCACTTCAGTGTGAGGGCTTGGAAGCAGCCAGGTGTCCGTAAGAATCCACAAAGTGCTGGACAAGGTCACTACTGGGTCGGGCCTCTTTGCAACCAGCAAAAGTGTTGCCCTTGTTTTGTCCCTGAAAGTCTCCCAGGAGTTCTTGTCCCCCTCGCATCAATATGTACAATTCTGGCATGGAAGTTACCCAGGCAAGTTGCAGGATCTGTCCATACCCATTTACTTCCAGTGGGCTCAAAATTTTTAAAAATAAGAAGCTTCAGATGAGGTTTATCCCTTTCTTTTCCCCCCCTCTCCATTTTTAGGACATAGAAGCATAACTTCAAAGCATGCTTAGAAGCATAAAAACCATAACTGAAAACTGAACAAATAACAGTTTGTGCCTTATGTAAGTGTGCCTGCTATTCAAATTGTTACATTCAAAGGCTGTGGATGTTGTTAAAGCCCCTGCTTTCTTTACTGCCAGCTGCTGCTGTAATCCTAAAGTAGATGCACTTGGTTTTTTAAACTTTATATCTCAGTATACTGCCCTGGGAAATTGCTTTCTGCTTTTAAATTGGCCATCATGCAGAACTTTGTATTTTTCAACCTGTTTTTTACTTTGAGATTTGCAAGTTATTTCTGAGTTTAAAACTTCCCGTTTTTGTTCAGAAGCACAAAAGATACTGTCCCAATTCTAGTGTATCAGGTGCAGTCTTAAGGATATTGTCTATTTTTATCATCTGCAATGAAAAGCTGTTTCTACTTCAAATGTTATATTATCAAATGCACACTAATTTATTACTTTAAAATAGAAACTTATTTATATATTAATTTTTTTTAAAAAAACATACTGGATTAAAAAAAAAATCAGTCTGTTGCTTAGAAAATTCTCCAGAGGCAAAGTAACATTGCTCTGTTTAATAAAAGCTTTTTTTTCTTAGCTATATAAGATATTCTTAGCCTGTATAAGCCTAAATTTTGTCTTATTAAATTTAGAGTCACATCAAGCATTGTCCATTATGATAAGAAGACAGAGTTGTATCTTTAGAGCAATAATAAGTCCAGCTTGGCTGTTGGGCAAGTAAATTCAATATCTAGCTACTTCCATTAAAAATACCCCAACCTACTTTCAGTAGAAGCCTGTTCCCACTAGAGAACAGATTTTGTCGTTTCCACTCAGTGTCAAATGTAATCCCTCCAAAATCAATAGATAAAACTCACCTGAGAGCAAAACACTTTTTTTAAATTTGTTTCCAGCAATGGGTAAAAAACAGATGTACAAATAGATTTTTGTACTTAGAGGGAAGTGTCAAAAGAAGATGAATTAGGAGATAGAGTACTTGTGTGCTTTGGGAGGCCACAGAGTTTTGAGAATGAACCACTGAAACCCAAATCTGGTGTGTTGATAGTAATTTTATTTAGGCTGTCAGTCTTCTGGTTAGGCTGCAGAAGCCTTTTTTGTTGGTTTGGTTTGGTTTTTTCTCTTTCTTTTCTGTAGAAACAAAACCTTTTTGTTTTTTTTTCATTTAGTTTTAAAACATAATCCTCTTTAAATTTGACCAAAACCAACTGCTCCTGAAGCAAACCTGAGGTGCAGAGCTGAGGTGAATATTTCCTAATTCTGTTTATTTTGTCTCATTAGGTCAACCATGTTCCTTAGAGGGATAGCTAGAATGTAATGAATGGCTTCCTTGGCAAAACCGAAGCAGAAACTGACTGGTTTCCACTGTCTTGGCAATTTATTTTATTTCAATTTCATGGTGGGGAATTTATTTTTCAGTCTTGCACTCTGAAGAGGAGTAGCTCAGAGAAGTTCCGTCACAGATTTAGCCTTTGCTTTCCTTTCTCTTTCTTTTAATAGCCTGGCTGTGTAAACACTACTGAAGTGGATATAAAAAAATCTTCAAGAATGAGAAATCCACATAAAACAAGAAAGGTAAGTTATTATATCAAAAGCAGGAGGTGGAAGAAAATTTATAGAATGAATTTTCATAATTTCTTAAAGCACTTTTTTCTTACAGCTTCAAGGAGCAAATGCATGAAATGTATGTTAATATTTCATAAGCTCTTAGTTGAATTAGTATTAACAAATTTGCTAATGCTAAATGAATGCTATCACATAGAATTTTGGAGAAGTATAAACAGATTTTGAAGATAAAATTCATTTTTGCATGCTTTATTCATGTTATTCAGTAGATTGAATAAAGCACATTAAAATGTTTCTGTCAGTAATTAAGGAAAAAAAAATTAAAAATTCAGTATGAACTCTAACAGCAGTTCTTGTCCTGGTCTTCATGAAAAGGGTGTCTCTATATTCCAATTATGCCCAAAATGGATGACTGGAAATGATGGAAGAAATTAGCTCTATCTAAATTAGGTTGTAATTACAGTGTAACTTCTCTAGGGATGTACAGATGGATTTGCTCAACACTTTTATATCCTTTGCACCATAACCATATAGATTGACTCCCACTTAAAGTACTTCCTTTGAGGTGCATTTGCATGTTGACCCATAGGAAGGTAAGTTTTAAAAAGGAAAGTGGATTTAGAGAAAGTTTTAGCTTGGCTTCTTTATGGTAGTGAAAGGTCCAGATTAGTGTAATTTACCAGATAGTAATTGCAATTTTGGAAGTAATCCAAATAATCTGTGAGTTAGTGTACCTCTCAGGATACTCCACCAACCAGTCATCTCCTTACTGTAATAGCATCTCCCAGTGTCGTTCCCCATGTTTAGTGTGATGCTAATATAGAGACCTAATAAAAGTGGACCCTTGCTTGTGGCTTTATGGAACTGTGGGAGTTTGGGAGTCTTTGTTTTACACTCCAGTGCAGAAGCACGATTTTATCTGAGTGCATGGGTTATTGAAGTTTCTTTAGGTAAAGATGATCTTGGCTAACTTGTTAAGCACAATGTAGTATGGGTGTGTGTAGAAAGCATTGTCTGAAAGCAACCATCATTGTTTCATTTTTTTTTTGCACAGTCTGTCTATGGCTTACAAAATGACATTCGAAGTCACAGCCCTACGCACACGCCGGTGCCAGAGAGTAAGCCACCCACAGAAGATGAACTACACCAAGAGGTTTGGAACATAACTACAAACGTGTACTTTTAAAAGAACTTTTTAGGTGGTAACTTTTTAGGTATAAACCCAAAAATTATTGTAACTGGGAAGTTATTCAAAACAGCTGTTGCAAACATTTAATAAACCTTTTTCTTGTCCCAAGGTATATGGATTTAGGCATGTAACATCATCAAAATTAATGAGACAAAACCTGAATTTTTTGTATCTATATTCAACACCTAAAGGCTGTAGGAAGTAGTCAAGTGAGTGGGTTCATTGCATAGCTCAGCCCATTAGCCCCTTTAGCTGTAGACAGCTTGCTCTTCTTTCAGCGCTGATTTGAGGCTTGGGGGTATACTTACCACTCCATACATGCATGTATAGGTTCACACACTTATCTACTGTTAAAACTTAGAGTTTTAGAGTCTGGAGAAGTTAAATATCTGAAGAAGTATTAGTTCTCAAAAAATCTAAAAAATGGCTAACTGGATTTCTGTTGATGAACCTTTAGGGAAAATGTTCTATTGGGCACATTTTTTGTCTCTATGAGCTTTCCTCTTTAATGGAAACTTCCATTTATTTTAGAGCTACACTGGTGAAATGTTGTTTTAATTCAGATATATTTCTCTTCTGTGCCCTAGGGTAAATTAATGTTCAATTACAGCCCTAATAAAAAAAGTTATAGAAATAGAGTCAAGTAATAAATTACTCATAAAACTCTTTTCCTTCCTTTTTTGCAGATTAAGCACTGGCAAATGCAATTAGACAGACATAGATTAAAAATGTCAAAAGTTGCAGAGAGGTACGTATATTGTCACATTTTCTATTTTTTTCAGTTAGACCGGTAACTATTGGGAAAAATGTCAGTGTGAAATAGCTTCAAAGAGCTATTCACTGCAAATAGGTCTTCAAAGAGAGACATGAGAGCTCAGATGTCATAGAAATAACTGATGAGAGTTTACTTTAAGTGGAGAAGTATGAAATTCTTTTAGTGATAAAAATATTCCAGATATTCCGTGATACATTTCTGATAAACCTGAGTCTCTGAAAGAGCCTCTGACCAAGTGATTATAAGTTTCACCTTTCACTGGCAGGGAGGCTAAATGGGAATAGGTCTGGGGTTGTTGTTTTGATGTTTCAAAAGGGCAATCACTGATGGAGCAAGGGAATTGGCTGGTGTGGAGCTCAGTCAGTGCTTGAACAAAGTGACTTTGGGCTCAGTTTGGGTCAGAGATGTAACGCTAGTAGGAATATGTCTGCAAATATGACCTAAGTTTGTCAGGAAGGGCTAGAAAGCAAATAAAACAAAAAGCCCAACATTGCAGAAAATTGAGCTGCATGGGGCTTAGTAAAGGAAAATAAGGCCAAATACAAATTGCTCTTCATCTTCTCATAAACATTTCTGCATATATGTCTACTCATTTATGTGTATGTGTGTATACATATGCAAATCCAAATAAATATTTATTTATAAAGAGAGCAGGCTAAGAATTTTTTGTTTGCTGAACAGTAAAAAAAAAAGTTCACTAAATATAATAGGAATTGAAAAGAAAGAATACTTGTCCTCACTTGTCAATAATTTTACAAGAATTATGAGACCAAAGGAAACAGCAAACATAAATAAGGACAATGGGAGATGTAAATTACCAGAATACAAGCAAAGTTTTTAGTGTGTGCGACTAAGCCTGGCCAATTCCTGAATATTAAAAAAAAAGTTGAAAAATTGATTTATTTTTGCTGGGAATAATGTCCTTGGATTAGGAAATAATAATAATAATAAAGATATTTAAGAGAAAATAAAAGGAGTACTAGCAGCTGCAGGCCAATAAATATAAAAATATAACCTGTGTCAAATGCAGTGTTTTAGAACAGATTTTAAGGAAACTGTTGATTAAAACCATAAAGGGATATAAAACATGTTCCTTTATGAAAACAAATGTGCATGGAGCAGGTTGTATGATTTAATTTATTAGTGCCTAAAGAAACCTTAAATGAGCTATGTGGAAGTATTAGGGAAGCTTATTTTATTTCTACTCTGGGTATACCTGAGCCACCTCTCCTTCTTCAATGGTCCACTGTCAAACAGCCTGAGCAAACCCTGAGCTTGTGGCTGCCTTCTGAGTGTGGGCACACAGTTACCATGGCTTGGTGATGCAAGGTGACTTGTTAGCTGGGGTAACCTCATCAGGTTTCTTCTCCTCCTGACGTGACAATGTTTGATGCTTTTGTTTTCCTAGTCTATTAGCTTATACAGAGCAGTATTTGGAATATGATCCTTTTCTTGTGCCCCCTGATCCCTCAAACCCTTGGATATCAGATGACACCACTTTCTGGGAACTGGAGGCAAGGTATACAATTTTATTTCTTCTTTGGAAGTAAGGCAGTATAACATGCTTTTCTGGAAATATGAAGATTTCAGAGAGAGGTACTGCACGAGAATACTGAGGCCTTAGAAGGGCAATGCAGTACCCTTTTGGTCTTTCCAATTTTACAGATTTGTAAGATGGGAAGTGCTATATATTAATAAATCTGTGTGAAATGTTACAGTAACCAGTTTCCAGACTTCTAGAATGGTAAAAAAAAAAAAAAAAAAAAAAAAAAAAAAGACAGCTTTTAAAATCTGATAACATTCCTAGTTGGAAATCTTTATTTTTCTGTGTATTACCTTCTTCCTAAGTAAGTACTAAAAGTCTGTTTTCTTATTGCTGATTGTTGCACAGATGTGAGCACTCTAAAAAGTGAGAAAACAATGGAACTTTAGAACTTAGTCTAAATTATGAATACATTGTTAGAATACTGAAGTATTGGTCACTTTGGGTTCTGTTGTTTTTAATTCTGCAGCAAAGAGCCAGGACAGCAGAGGGTGAAACGATGGGGATTTGGCATGGATGAAGCTTTGAAAGACCCTGTGGGAAGAGAGCAGTTTCTGAAATTCTTGGAGTCAGAATTCAGTTCAGAAAATTTAAGGTAAATGAGAGCTAGTTTATTTTTTAATAGCTTGTAAGTTATATTGGATTTTTGCTTTGTTGTTGTTTTTTCCTGATACTTTTCATTTTTTGACCCCTTCAACAAATTTCTTCATCTTTCAGAATTAATTAATCCAGATTGCTACTTGCTTTCATGTATAGGCTGATGGAAATATTCATATAGTTAACAGAGACACACATGAAGCATATTTTTCCATTAATATTCAACTTTTGGTCAAACTACTCTTATAAGAACTTTTCTCTAAGCTTGTCTTTTAAAAACATATAAAATGGATTCATTCAAAGCCTGTTAAATATAATTTATTTAGTCAAATATTACGAGAAAAGTAAAATGAAAATAAGAAATATTAAAAATAAATAAAGGATCTAAAAGTAAAATTAATCGACTTTCATCAGGTTGATTGGTTTCTGGGGATCATTTTGAATGTCTCCACCAATATTCTAATACTTGTACATCTGACACAGCTGAAGTAGGGTGACATCTAGCTCTCAAATTCCTCACTAATTGTAAAATGGAAAGTGTTCTCAGTGTATGCAGCATAGATGGTATGTTTTTAAAAGTGTGCTTACAGAATTACTTTTAAGTGAGGGGAAAAATGACTTGATTTTAAAAATGGCAGTCCATCAATTGGTTAATAGCATGTTTTGGTTTTGCTGTTCTAAGAAAGTCGTATTTCAGTAAGAGTTATTTCAGAGAGATTATTAACAGCCTTTCTATAGACAGAAAAAATAAGCTGAGCATAGTACAAAAATATAGGCAACACATTTTTATCTTAATTCCACCTTCTCGTCAGATGTCATTTGTATCACTTTCCATTCACCAATAACATAAGTAGTATAAAATTCTATTTGCATTTACATTCTAGAACTCAGAATAATCCTAACCTACTTTTTTCCTATGCCAATTCTTACTCTAAAGTGGTGCAGCATAGCCATTCATACTAAAATTATGCTTTTGTAGCATCTTACAAGAGGCATTTAATATTTATGGTGTTGATTTATAAATGCCGGGTAATTGCACAGATCTCCTTGTTGTTAATTTAAATTTGTCAGCAGAATAATTAGTTGGAGTCCTCTAAGTTGCTGACCATGTTCATATTCAAACTTTAACTTTGCATCAGAAATATAGCCTGACCTGTATGTGTATGTTGATGACTTTATTTGTCACAAATACAGATTTTTCTTATTAAAAATGCCAGTTGGTAAATGAATTTTTAAAAATCAGAATAAGACCAAGAAAAGGAAAGGTAATCTTTTTCTTTTTATATAATTGTTTAAAGAGCGTCCTGGTTATTTGTTATGCAGAGCAGCTGTTCAAACATGAACCTATTGAGCCCAGTGTGTGCTGCAGTTTGTGGTGCTTTTCTGTGATTAATTTGTCTCTCTGCCAACTAGACTGTTACCCACATAATCCCTAACTCTTTCGTCTAATCCTATTTACAACACTAAATACAGGCAAACTGCAAGTAACTGATCTAGAAAAATTCTTTCAAGAAATTTCTTCAGAGATGATTCCTTGACATGCCATCTACTCTTCTGTCTCTTCCTCTAAATTCTTAAATTGGCATTATAAAATATAATATCTGAGAAACAGTGAATATGATCTTAAAAGCCAGGCAGGGGATAAATTTGCTCTGAGAAGGTGCTTTCTGTGATAATTAGCTGAAGGGAAACTATCTCAGAAGCTCAGAATTATGTTTGTAAATGCCTAAGCTGTAGGGAAATCAGCCCATTAGGTTCACATAGTAAATTTGGGTTAGAAACATGAATTTGTAAAGCTTGTTGTGTATGGCTGTCAAAATGTTTTAGATGTCAATAACAGAAGTTAAAAGCTTGATGATTTCAAGCATTACCAATAAATAAACCTTAGAAGGCAACCACTTTCATTGCTCACCTGTTAACTCCATCTTGGTAATTTGGGAGTTTTAGTGGTATTTTTTTAATTATTATTTTGACAGCCACCTTAAGAGAAATAATTACGTCCACCCACATATTCCCACTGCAACAAATTCAACTCAAATCAGTTGCTGGTTGTTGTACTTCTACAGATCTAATAATGTTAAAATTTACAGCACTGCCAAGCCTATAGTTGGATAGGCAGCTGGGACTCGGCTTTCAAGCTTTCAAGCTGAGTACGCAGGATACAGCAGGGACTGCAGGCATGGCAGGAGCTTCAGCATTAGGTGATTCGGTGTCTTATACCTCCTTTTGTGAAACAAACACCAAAACCATGAAATGATAAGTCTACCAGATACACCATTTCTATTCAAGTGTAATGATATTACATAGCAAGAAGTCCCAGTGTTACTGTTACATTACCTTTGACTGAGAGCGCCTACAGTATTTGAGAATTTTATTCTTGGCAGATAAAGATCCTCTCTTAAAGGGTCTGTATCCCTGCCTTGGGATACTGATCCTGTCCTAAAGGGTCTGTATCCTTTCCTTGGGACACAGATCCTGTCTTAAAGAACACAGCAAGGATGAAGGATCTTGAGCTGCGATTTCATACTAAGAATTGTGCAGTGATCAGGAAAATAACCAGGTTTCCCCTTCTTACTTTGTATCTCTGTTCTTTTTTCTTTGCCTGTAAATGGGTCTTAATAGTATTTCACTCTCTGAAGGAGTGTTGAAAAGGAATAGCAAAGGAATAAAACTGCATAAACAGTTCTGTCAGTGCAGTAACTTCATTACAGTGTGACTGCAGTTAGCAGGTTGGATTCTGCACTCACCTGATGCAGGGTATGACTTGTGATCTCTTGTTACCATGCACATTTTTTGGAAGAATTGCTTTGTGTGCTGCTCAATACACAGAACAAATAGCCAAAGTAACATATGATTTGGATAATAGATTTATGAAATTCCCAATGCCTATTACAAAAATGGTGACCATTGTTTAAAATTCACAAGACTAAAGTCTGAGCATGATCCAGTGCTATTGAGCTTAGTCACAAGGTTTTCCAAGTGCTAAAAAAAGTACTTTTCAAAGAGAGTGAGTTTATGAAATCAAACTTACTGCAGCATGGCACCTGGAGACCTAATGCCTTTACTTTCTACAGGAAATTGTATTCCTCTTCTTGTCCTTCCTTTGTCTGTAGAGTAGCAGAATTATTTGGAAAATTAATATTTGTATGCTGACTACAGGTTTGCTCCCAAGTGGTTATTCTGTAGGAATTGCAGCCTGTAAAGATTAAATAATTTCAGACCTGCCAACCTGAAAGCCTGTCCCAATCCTTGTGCAGTGAGTGTGATCTCCAAAGCAGTTCAAAGAGTGAAAAACCTCTTAAGTTAGTGAAGGGAGAGTGGTGACAGGTTAGGTTCCATGATACACAGAAGGAAAAGCCACTGGATCCCTTGCCCCTTCCTTGATGCTCATTTCTTAGGTCTGCAATGTGTGACTGGTAGGGGAAAAGGGACTTTGCACTCTTGTTATCCAGAAAAAATAAGAGAGAGACTGAGAAATTTGATAGATTTGGATGTCTTCCTTCAATAATTTTTGTCTAACCATCTCCCTGCAAGCTGACATTTTATGAGGTGTTTATCCTTTACAGTGGTGATTATGAGGCCCTGTTGTGGGTGCTAATAATCTGACTGAAATTTAATCCTCAAAGCTGAAATTGCCTGTGAGTTATTCCTCATTCAGACTCAAGATTAAATGCCAAGTGCCAGCAATGTTGCCATTTCTGCAGAGCAGATGAGAAAGAACTAGTTGCAGGATTTAATGAGTTTCTCCATCATATTCTTGAAATCCTTCAGTTCTACTATGCCTTGAAACTTGAAGTTGTAGTGGGCAAGGGGGTGGACTCTAGAAAACAGAGGGCAGTGTTTCGTGGCCCTGCAAAAATATAATGTGATTTTATTCATTTGTTTAGGTTTTTGTTTGCTTTTTCTGAAAATGCTGAAAGGTCTAGCCTCTTACTTGTTTTGTCACATGCACTGAGTGCAAAGTTTACATAATTCCCACTCCAGTGTTTCCACACTGACTCTACCTCATGTGTTTCACAGAGAACCACTACAGCCTTTCTCTCACTCATTGTTCCTGTGGGCTAAATTTAACTGATTACCTTGGTCTGGAATCTGGCTGCACCTGCCTTTAGGTCAGTTAATGGGACAGAAGCTGTGTTGCAGCTGTGCTATTTATCCATGAGGCCGCTGTGGCTTTGAAAGCAATCCAGCTGGAGGACATAATCCCCAGATACCTTGCCACATGTGTTTTAGCAGCCCATGTGGCTGGATGTGCTGCCACTGTGCACTGTGCACCCTCACTCTGCTCTGTGACCCAGCAGGTGGCAGCCCAGATGCTGGGGTAGAGGACAGCAGGGAGAGTCACACTCAGCTACTCAAGTCTCTGTTCAAACAGTGCTGAGCATCTGCTAGAAAGGGTCTCCATGGCACAAGCAAACCTCCACCAACAGGAAATGCAATTTCAACCCAGGGCAGCCAGACTGAGTTCTAGTTCCTTACACAGTCTGTGTGTATCATTGCCCAAAAACTGTAATTCCCCTTCTCCCCTCACCTGCCCTTGCGCACAGTTTATGTTGCAGACTGTGTGCTTTTTGCCACAGGAGTCTTCCCTTGCTCTGGTCACAGCTCATGAGGCAGAGAGCTGTAAAAAGGTACAGGGGAGCTCTTTTGATTTGAGGCCCTGTGCTGAGGTCTTGTGACTCCATTTCAACTTAATCTGTGCTGTTGGTTGCCATGGGATATTTGAAAAAAGTTATTTTTGAAAATGCAAGAGGGAGCAGCCTTATTTTTGTCATTTCTTAACTTTGAATATTTGAATTCAACTCTCTGTGGGAGGAGGGCAGGCATCTTTTTCTTAAAAGATAAGTAGATTAAAATCTTAAAATGTGTGTTGGCTGTGAAATAAGCACCCTAGACATAACACAGAAATCATATTTCTTCCCACTTTTGGAGAGGTTTCTATATTTAGAGTTTCACATTTTTAGTTGAGTCTTTGAATGCTATTGTTAGAAGGGTAAAATTAAATTAATCTATCAAAGAACTGGTGTTCAGCCTGCAGGAATTGGTCTATACAACCTCCCTATTCTGTGCTGCAAGCATAGAAGTTAAATTTATTGAAATTTATCTCCCATCTATTTTCCTAGAATTGAGTATAACCTACTATATGAAAACAATTTACTTGCAAAAGCAAATAGCATCCTAAGGCATGTTTGCAGTGACTTCCAAAGTTATTGGCAGTGATACAATGGAACAAAAAAGGCAGTGACATCTCTGAGCGAGATCTGCAGGATGTCTGCAGGGAGACAGAAAATGTGTGTTTACAAAGAGCATCCTTCCCTTTCATTTTTGTGTTCCTTACCTGACTTGGAGACACATGAGCAATCAGTCAATCCCAGAAGATGCACTTGAAGGGGTTAGCACTGCAGGATATGTGCTTTTAAATGCAAATATCTAAAGCAGCTTAAGGAAACCAAAGTAGGTTGCCCGTATTTGAAAGAGTGAACTGAATTAGAGTTTGTGAGCTTTGCAGTTTTAAAACTTGAGTTATCAGGCATTCCTGCATTGCCATCAGATTCTCAGGATACATCCCCAGGCTCTGTGCAGAACTATGTTCAATTCACGCTGTAGTTCATTAATAAAAGACATGCTACCCACAAGTTTTGAAACTGGAGTTCTATTGGCACAGGTCCCCTTTGTGACCTTGGAGAAACCATTGTACATTATTACATTATTAATATATTTGCAAAACTGGGACAATATTGCTTCTCTGTCTCTTGGAGAATCTTAGATGGAAAAATCGTGCTTATGTTCAATTGAAATTGAAGGTTGTAGACATACCTAAAATAGTCTTCTTGGTAGCATGAAGCTAACCATGCTGGCTTGTGGAAAATGAACACAGGCCTCTTCCATCTTTGATAAAAAGAAATTTCAATACAGAACTATGAAGGAATAATTGCTTCCTGAGAGGAAGTGAAGGATATCTTATAGCAAGAGTACTATAAGGTTTGATATGCTTTACTATCCTCTCTTAAGCCTTTTGCAATAATTAAATTAGATTTTGGATTGAGGGTGATGTCATTTTGCTTTCTTGGGGATCTGAGTACAGTTTCACTGTTCTCTCCTATCCCATCCTTGTTGAACTCAGCTAAGAGAATTTAAGTTGATCTCACAGTGTAAGCAGGAGGCAAACCACAAGGTGTACCCAATTTATTTGTGAGCCTTGGAAAATCCAGCTGATTTCAAATTTAAATCACTTCAAAGCTCAGCTTCTCTGTTTCATAGGATCAGCTGTGTCAGAACAATAATGAAAAGTTGCAACGGTATATATTGCATGTTTACCAAAGTCAAACTTTAGTTGAGCTTCTTGGATTTGGAGGAGAACTAAGTGGTCTGGATCATGTCTAAGAATGGGATCCTGAATTAATTTAGGATTATTTTGTGCCATGAAAGAGTCTGAACACCAATAGAAGAAATAACGAAATAAAGCTTGCAGCTACTTAGCTATGATCATAAAGTGCTCAGGACCTTTTCAGTGGTCTTGTTCCAGACTGAATGAGGATACAGTGAAGTGGCTGCACTACATATGGCTGCCCAATGTTGGTTTGCTCAGCAGCAGAAGAGAGAATGTGCAATTCCATTCAGCATTTTTAGCAAAAATATGCATGTAAATGGAACACTGAAAAGAGAAATTAAATTATAATTAACAAAAGAAATGCTTTTTCAATGTGTGCATGATTTCTGAGTAACAAAATTATTTCCATGGTTTAGGACTTAATAGGACTCAGAGACTCATGTAGATAGCAAGAATATAAATGATTAGTTTTTGAAAGAATGTCAAAAAGCAGTTAGGTTATAAGTAATATAAGCCCTTGTGGTCCAGCCAAAATGAAGTGTCAGTTTAATTCTAGCTAAATCTGGAATCTTCCTGCAAGCACGTTACCCATACATAAGTAATGAAGGATTTCCTATCTATCCCATGAAGAGCCTTCTAAAATTTGCTTCCCTGGGTGGATTGATTGCCTTGAGACAGTACACCAGAATGCTGATCCCAACATAAAATCACTTAGCTTTTTCTTATTTTAGCATGTCCAGATGAAAACTTCAGTTACTTAATTTTTTTTTTTAAGAGCAAGGAAGAATGTGGGCACTTCATTAGTGGTTATCCTGAGCTGGAAGTCAAGGTGCTGTGTTGTGCCATAGGTTCTGGTTAGCAGTAGAAGACCTGAAGAAGAGGCCAATCCGTGAAGTTCCTGCTCGCGTCCAAGAAATCTGGCAAGAATTCCTTGCTCCAGGTGCACCCAGCGCCATCAACCTAGATTCAAAAAGTTATGACAAAACCACTCAGAATGTGAAGGAACCTGGAAGATACACATTTGAAGACGCTCAGGTCAGTTTGAAATTGTGTTTATGGACATCTGAAATGGAATATTGGCTAGTGGAATCTATATGCAAAAATGAGATGTATTTGGGAATTAAATGATAACCCCCTGTTTCCTAAAATGCCATTTTGGCAATGCAAATGTGTAACATTCTTTCTTTCATGAGGCATATGAAGTTCTTCATGAAACTCCTGTGCTTGATACTGAGGTTTCAAGTGGACTTTGAATGGAGGAAAGCACATAGTGAAGAAAATATTAAGTACTTCTGTATTACATGCAACACTTCCTGTGACTTATAGCTTAATATTTAATCTCTGAAGACTTCTGAGAAAAGCAATAGAAAATAAATGGATTCACAGTAAAAGTACCAGAACTGGTATCATCCCCCATTTTCATCAGCAGCCCAGTGATGAAAATTTAATTATTAATGCAAAGTGAAATGGTGTCAAAAGGAGAGATTGAGATCATATCCCTGCAGAATTTCCTGCAGTTTGATTATTAGGTCGTCATCTTGGGAGTCAGGAGATGCTGCTACAGGGCCCATGAAGGAGAAAAGGGAATTGAATTGAGGCTTTCTACTTTTTGGGAGAATGCCTCTGCTGTAAATGTGAAGGAGAATAATTGTACCTCCTTTTAATTTTTCCATTATGCGAATAGCAACCTATGAAGAAACAATAAAATTTTCAGTAGACCCTACGTCATAGCCACTGTTTTGAAGTACTCTGCATTAAACCACACATAAATTTTTTACTTGAGTCTGCTGAGCCCTGGAGATTTAAGAATGCAGTGTATAGCAAAGACATAATGGCAAAAGTAAAAAATAGAGCAAGATTAAAGGTTTTTAAACAACGTGTCTTTGCAATTGAGTGAGTAATTGACATTTAAATTCCTTGCCAGTATTCTTTTTTTTGTAATAAGTGTAAAATTTCAATACCCTTTTACTGCCAGATCTCCCTTCTTGTAATTTTGTCCTTCATTTATGAAAGACATGGAATATTCAGTGTTTATGCAAGCAGGACTTTGCCACCTGGAGAGGACCTCTGCTTTATCCAGTTCAGCACAAAACCTTAAACCTGGAAGCCTCAATTCCTGTGGAAAAGGAAGAGGCTGCACCTGCTGTATTCTTACTTGAAACTTTAGGCACTTTAAAGTGTCCCACCTGAGGTGGAGGGTTTTGTCAGGGCTAGGGCTCTGCCTCTGCAACAGGCTTTTTTTGGCCTGCCAGCTGGGAGGGAGACTGCTGGTGTGCCATTCTGGCAGTTGGTTGGTCATTTAATTGTGGTTAAAAATGCATTCAAAGCATTTCTGGACTGGAAATATAGAAAGATGAAACTCATGTCCAATGTAGATACATAGGTAAAATGGGACACACAAGTAAAAATAGCCCATTTGTGCTAAATATATGCATTAATGTGTCCCTGGACAACTTGTACATTAACAATACTGATACAGCCCAATTTATTCTTGCTTTTACAGGCATATTTCTTGTACAGAAATTAAATTTTAGTGCTTGTCACCAATTTCTGCTCTCTGTTGACTGCATTGTCTGCTTTCACAGACACTGAGTGAAAAAAACCTTCCCCAAATAAAGCAGTCTAAGTTTTGAATATACACCAGAATTTCTCTGCTTACTGTAAGAAATACATTTAGAATGACTTCTATGGTTTCTAATACAGCACAAAGTAAATATCAGTTCTAATTTTACTTTGCTTTAATTTTCACACAAGGTGGGGAGTTTTGTTTGGGGCTTTTTTGTTTGTTTTGGCTTTTTTTGTGTTTACTAATTTTATGCACTACCAAGCTGAGAAACAGTATTTTCTTTCCAGTTTGTTTGCTGTTTCCCAATTGCTGTGCTACAAGTTTCCTACAGCAAAAAATAGAATCTGAATAAAACAAAAAGTCCATGAAAATAGGTAATGATAGAATAGCTAATGATTCGGGGTTTTAAAAATATATTTTTGAGAGTATTTTCTGTTCTGGCTGCTTTTTCTACAAATCTTTTCTCTAGCATGTCATTAGAACTAGAATTATCAAGTGTTCTACATCACAGATTTTTTGTTTTTCATCTTTTTCAGAAATTAGAACATTCCAAAATTAAGTTTTTTTAAGCTGCTCTTGTCATTTATTTTCTGAACAAAGGTTTCCAAATGTTCACATGCCTCTGAAGAATTAATATCTTGAAAATTAGATTAGCCTGAAACTGTTTTCCAAATTGCATATGTATTTTCCTTTTTTATATTGTTAACTGGAGAGCAGACTAAACACCTGTCAAAGGATTTTGTCAAGAGTAGCCAGTGGAAATCCTCAGTCACCTAAACATTAATTGTGATGCTGAATTGAAAACCTCTTCTTAGACTCTGAAATCACATGAGTATCTCCAGAAACTAATTCAGAAAATCTGGTGAGGAGGAACCCAGAGCTCTTAAATTCATCACTTAGCTAAACTAACTAATGTAAGGGAGGTTTGAAGCTGGACCTGAAGCTAGGACTCAGTTACCAATTCTCAGAAAATAAATTTGTACTGGAAAATTTGGTCAATAAATTAAAGGAAGGTGTGTTGTGTAATTATATATAAGAAATGGGTGGGATTTCAGATTTAAGAATAGAAAGCAATTCAGCCTTCACTTCAGGCTGAGACCTGCTATCCTGTAATACTTCCTATTCATTAGCAGTGCTACCTGGTGTACATTCCATGGCCAAAACATGTGGCTGCCTCCCATTTTACATGCGTCCTCTTCTGTGGCAGTAACAGCTCCTCCTTTCCTTTTCAGGAGCACATTTACAAACTGATGAAAAGTGATTCTTATCCTCGTTTTATACGATCCAGTGCCTACCAGGAGCTACTACAGGCCAAGAAAAAGGTATTGGTCCATCTTGCCTTTGTCTTGCCACTGTGCAAAGCAGTGGTTATGTTTGCAACAATACTCAGTCTTCTCTCCCCTGTGCCAGTGCAACTGGATATCTGGTAGGTGACCAGCTTGGCGTTTTTGGAGGGTCACATACACACAGGAGTTCAATATACATATATGTGTATATATCCTGCATGCGGGCATGTTTCAATAAGTTAATCTAGCAAAACTTATTTTTATTTTTACATCCCATATTGTACTGTTTTCTCTGTTATGAAGCACCTTAAATTGCAAAGTGCTTTAAAAATACATTAAAAAAAATAAAATAAAATCCCAGAAGAATAGTCTTTCATGTTTGCAAGTTTGCTTATGTAATAATTGTTGTTCTCTTTATTCCACCTATGAAAGCTACAGAATGTGTTTAGAAACAATCTTATTCATATGAATAACTTCTAGCTTCAACTATAAATATAGGGGCTTCCCAATTTTGTTTCTGTCCCTATTACTACATGAATAGTTTTGAGTAGGCTAGAAATCTGACTTGAAAGACTGATCATGTCACACTTTGGCAAACAGAGGTTCATGCCTTGGTATGTAATATTTTCTTAGAAAAGTCCAGTTATGGAATGGGTTCTGAATAGCCACAGCCCAGAGTATGTGGAGCAGCTTGTACAATGGAGATTTCCATGATGATAAATAATTCTATTAGCGGGCTCTAAACAGTAATCTCCTAGAATCAGCTGGGGGCCCTGTGCCTGGCAAAATCGGGGCCCCGATTGTTACTGGAACAAGGTAGTTATTAACACTAGCATTCTGTTGTTAATAATGACAACCTAAAATTATATGAAAGTACTGTGTGATTTTGTTTTTTGTTCAAACGTTGATTTCTGAAGATCCAATATAGAGAGAGATGTTGAAAATACCAGAAAGCTTCAACTGTCCATGTGAAGTCCTTAAGTTTGTGAATGTCAGTTCATTAACACAAGATGTGCACTTCATTATTTCTTTTTACTTTCAGTTTTTCTTTAAATTCAAACCAGTTTGATCCCCATGAAAAATTACTTTTGTCTAGTACTGTATCTGTTTTGCCCATCCCCTGTTTTGCCAAGTCCCATTACAGCCTCACACCTGTGTTTGCTTCCTAATTTATACAAACTTTGTTTTGCAGTCCATTGTTACATCAAACCTCCTTTTCTACTCCATTGTTCTTGCTTTTCTTTTCCCCCTCCTTTTTCTTTTTGTTTCTTTTGTTTTATTTATTTCAAATTTAAGTTGGAAAACACTCTGGATCGTCGAACATCTTTTGAGAAATTCACACGCAATGTGGTAAGTTTGTTGCCTCGGAAGACTAGTAAGCCTGATGGGACATCCTTCTTCCCTTCCCCTCACTGATCCCTACTTTCCCTTTTGCTTCTCTAACTTGGTGGTTAAAAGTGTATTCATCACAGCTTGTGAATTTTCCTGGGAATGACAGCTTTATAATGTGCTTTCATTACAACCCCTCCTCCCTAGTCCCTTTCCCGCTGATCTCAATAGTCACACATGGAGGAATGGACCTTTGGGAGCCATGCTTTTTGCATTAGGAAGCATGAAACTAGTCACTTCCCCCCCACCACCTATAATTTTAGTAAAGAATCTGTGAAAACATGCTTGATGTTGTTTCTTTTTCTGGTGCCTTCTAAAATACTAAGTCTAAAACAGTTGAATGCATTGGAATTCCATCCTGTCTTCTTTTTATTTTACTAAAAAAGACTTTGTTCCTGTTTTTTCAATTGGGCACAGGGAAAAAAAACAATAATAATTTTCCCATCTTCCTTAATGTCTAACAGCTTCTACAGGACCAAAGAATTCATGCTGTTTATGTGCAAGGGTTTTATTTGGATTCATTTTCATAATGGACTAAAAGAAATGATTTTTTTTTCCTTTCAATGTATAACTTTCAAAAGCTATTTATCAAAGGCAAAAAAAATGAAGGCTGGTAGATTTTGTCTGGGCATTCTTTTGCCACCTGCCAGAAGATCCACTGATTTCATGATACTTGGGATTCTTTTTACTTATCCAGTTTCTTTGGGATTTTTTTTTCCTTTTACATTGTGAAAGTTCCAACTAAAGAATTCAACGCATTTATTTTTGTAGGGCAGAAACATCCCTATTTTTCCATGCCATAAAAACTGTACACCAACACTGAGAACGAGCACTAACCTGTTATGAAAAGAGGTAGAAAGATCTTGGATTATACTCGAGTTTGTCTGCATTGTCTGTTGAATTGTGCAGGTGACGCTGCTCTGTGTGTGTGTGCGTCAGTGGCTTTTTCTGTGACCTGGTTAGTGGAGCTGTGTGTGTTGAAATGAACAAAATGAGAGCTTTCAGCAAAGATCATGGTTTTTGTTTTTTCAGTTTCTAGGGAAGGAGAAGCAGTTGTCAGAAACTGTCTCCCCTGTAATGAGGCTCAAGAGTATTGCCTCAAGTATTTAAAAAATACATATATACTTTCCAGTAATCAAAAAAAGAAAAAAAATGCAGTGAAAGTTTTGTGAGGCTGTGGGAATATCTCACTTTTAAAAACAAAACAGTAATTCTTTAACTACTTTCTTATAGGTAAAGGCTTCCTGTAATATACTTTGAATCCACTGTAATCAGGAAGAAATTTGGATTCAATGGGACAAAGTCAGTAAAGGACACTAAAAGTAAATAAACAGCAACAAAGGAAACGATCCCAATGTTTGAAACAAAAACCCCTATGTTTTGCATGGTGGTGTTGCCATAGCATGTTGCAGTGTGATTTGTGTGTTGTCTAAACAGGTTGGATCTATAAAACAACATTGTACATGATAGCACTTATACATGGTAACTCCATTATAATTCAATAGGAAGTTCCATATTAATAAAAAGTCTGTAAAAGAGAGTGCATAGAGGGGGGAACACATACGGATCTCTGCAAGCCAGACTTTTTCCCAGTGCCTGGCAAGCTGCAATGCTACATTTATTCATGGCTTTTTGAGCAGCCCAGGGGTCAGGAATTGGCTGTGGTAACACTGTGCAAACAGGTGGCCATGAGGGGGGAAATAGCAAGCTGCAGGTAGAGGGGTCAGGAATACAGTGCAGAAAGGGAAAATGAAAGGACAGGATGGGGAGATGCTGAAATCCCTCCCAGAGCAGCCTTACACATAAACCAGCAGTTCCCCAAACATGGGAGCATTGTGCCCTGCAGCCATGCCCAATTTTCATCCTGCTAATCTCAGGGCAGAGGTACCAGAATAGCAGCATGACAGAGATGCAAGGCAGGCCCAATAAACCAGCTGTGAACTAGAAATGGAAAAGAGGATTTCTGGACATTAGTTTGGTAGAAGAGGAGTTGTTTTCTTTTCTTTTTCACTGAGCAAACTCTGAAATAAAATCTGTGGTTTTGCTTTTTTTCCAACTACTACCTGTTAACCTGGGTGGAGTCTGTCAAGTCGGGTGAGGTATGAAAGAAAAACATGTCACTGCTAGATCTATAATCTCAGACTGACAGCTCTCAGCCTTGGAAATTAATCCAGAGCATCAGAATGCTCAAACGCAAACCTTTTTTCCAAGATGACTGAATTCATGTCAACCACTTCCTCGGGACCTCTTTCCACCAGACATCCTTGTTCTTCCACTCTTGTTCTTGGTTGTGATGAGTTCGTAATATGTAATTATCTATCTTGGTACAGTGGTTCCAAACAGCAGGGATGAGGGAAACATTTCTCAGAATATTCCACACTGTACAGATTAACTTGATCAACTGTGAAATGAGGGACTGCGGAATAGATCTGTTCTACTGATTAGTACAGAAGATAGGTGTGAAAAGGGTCTTCTGCAACCTGGATAAAGCTATCATCTCTGCTTTATTGAGATGAAAATTACAGTTTCTCTTCTCTGATGGTTTGCAATATTTAGACTGATTTTCACTGGATTTTTTCCCTCAGTTATATCAAATATATTTATATTATATCAATATATTTGTATTAAACTAAATTGGACCTCAGTTTCTTCCATTTGAAGTGTTTAATAAAAATGCAGTAACCTTGCCTGTGTCTAGGGACTCAGTCTGAACAGATGGACTTGTAATTCATTATCTGATTAGTTGACTCTAGGAGGATCCTGATCAATGTTAAACTAAATTGGGTTACACTTGCCACACAGAAAGCATTTGTTAAACTAGAAACTTTAGAAACTTTGTAAAGGGCAATTACTCCATACTATTTCATAAATTACATGGAAATAACCTATTATAATGACTCATTATTTTAGTCTGATAGAGAAAAAATAGAAGTGGAGCTATACACTAGGCTCTGCTCTGCATTTCTTTGACATTGAAAGGTTTTCTTTCCAGAAAATTTTCAGCAAGCTGATGCAGTTCATGAAAGGTCTAAATGCTCAGTTTAAAAACTGACTAATTAGATGCTCTGTAGATTTTATATTGCAAAATTGCTAATGCCTTCAGCAGTCTGTGGCTGAAAATATGGTTAGCCTTAGAAACAGGTCTGCATTCACATAAAATATACACAAGTAATAGCAAGCTGGCATTTGCTACATGTAGTATTTATTACTGAACATTTTATAGTTTGTATCTGAGTAGTAACTCCAGCTATCCTTGGTCTGCCTCACTCACACTCCTGGGTGCTGTGTGACAATTCAGAGCACAGACCCTGCAGCACTGCTGGGATGAAGCCATCAGATAAGTGGAGTGACACAGGCAGCCAAGTGTGTCACAGCTTTGACTCAGAGGCACAGAGAGCACTGACACTGCTCTGGGCTCCCCCCTGCCTGGCTCAGCTTTCTCTTTGAGACTGATAAAAGTCCAGTCACCTGCAGCTCCCCAAGGGACAGGGGAAGTTAAAGATCTAAGTGATGGAGCGGGAGGATCTCATTGCGCGCTAAAGCGGTAGAGAGACCAAAACCAGCAGTTTCTGTGACATTTAAAAGCTCAAATTCTTTTGAAGAATTCACATGGGGGAAAAAGCAATGAAAAAAATTAAAAATGAAAA